CCCCCACAGTCCCTCCCAGCTCCAGAGCTTCACCTGTTCTGCCTCTTACCCAACTTGTCATATTACTTGAATAGGATTTCTGGGCACAGCGAGTATGACCATGGCAAGTGTGACAGCACAGTGTAAAGAGCTTTTTAATTTACTGGCACCTCAGTTTCCCCGTCTGTAAAATGAAGGCATTGGAACATATGTTCTCTATAATTCCTACCAGTTTTCAATCCTGTGATTCTGGAAGTGTCCTCCTATTCCCAGACAAAGAGAGGAAAGATATTTAGATTATTGTATGGATTTACAAAGGGGGAAATAGAGGCAAAGGGGATAGAGATGGTGCAGGGAAAGAGATGGGAGACAGCAGGCACCAGGGGGTGGGAATTGTCTTTTACTGATGCACTGAGGACAATTGAGGACTGATGTTATGGGGAGGGCTGCGGGAAGCACTTTACAGCAGCTACACTGAAACTAGACAGCCTTTCAATCCATTTATCAAAGTGTCTACAGTTCCCGTTTCAAGGCAGATGAAGCAATAATAAATTTGTGAAGAAAGTTAATCTGTGTCCAAAGCATTTTAGTAAATTAAAAAGAGGGGGGGCAGACGGGGGATATATTGGTTCTTGCCAACTCCGATTTGACTTACTGTCTCCTTAATAAGTTCTCCCTGGTCTTGTATTTTTGGATAGAATAATCAGTCGGTTAATCATTTTCCGGAAGCTAAAGAATGCTCTCTAGCTAATGCAGTTCTCAATTCTTCCCATACTTTAATCATTTTAAAAATGTACTGAATCCTTTCCCCTCCTTTCCATAAGCCCATTTCCTAGCCCTCTCCTTTTAGTGACCTGCAAAGAGTTCCCCTTGCAATTTATGATTCCCTAGAAAAGACTGTTAGGCTCCTAGAATCAGAGAGTTGAAATGAACCTTGGAGGTCATCTGATCCAACCACTTCCATTTTGCATGTAAGGAAATTGAGACCCAGAGAGGTTAAGTGACTTGTCTAGGGTCACACAGGTAGTAAGTTCACATGTTTCTTCATTTTGGGGGGAAAAATCCTGTTTCTGGGGCACTCCCAGAGTTTTTCTGCTTCTCTTTTCCATGAAACACCCTTGCCATGAGAGGGTGAGCCACTAAAAAACTTAGCAGGCAATTGTCTAGAAATATTCTCCTGAGCAAAATGGATAGAATTTGTTATTTTTATTTAAGCATCAGTTAAAAGTAGCTGCCATGGTCTTTCTCAAGGCTGGTCCTCCTCAACGGCTCCGTATTTTGGAATCAAGCTGAGATAAACATGCTATTAGTGGCCCTCACAAAGGCCCTGCTATAATTATAAAGGGACAGAAAATGAAGCCTGTAGCCCTGAACTTTCTTCCCCACCACATCAGTAACCCTGTTACAGCTGTCAGTTTGTCAGACCAGTAGAGGTATTTGTGAAATCAATAGACAGTCCTGCAGATTGATGGCAGTGGTATTGTTATCCAGAGAAAAAATCGCTCAATGGAAAATAAAATTAATAAAATTTACAAGCAGATTGTCATAGGGAACAGATGAATTTCCTACAATTTCCTGTTTGGTTGGACTTTGGGAAAGTGATGCTGGGCTGTAGTAGTTAAATTAGGCTCATTAGCTGTGAATAGGGCTAGGCATCTTGCTCAGCTGGGGGGATCTGATTCCAAAGGTGATCTTCCGCAAGAAAATATTTAGCAAAAACCCAGTGTGTACTTTGTTGGGTCCTGACTCCTTAGTGAAGCTCAGAATTCCATTTGTGTCAGCATCTTGATTTCAGCCTTTGTATAAGGTCACTCTCCTTTCCCCGAGCATGCCACCCCAACTCTCCCCCATTTCTACAGCTTAGCCCTTCTTCCAGAGCTACTTAGCAAAAATGACTTCTGTTCCATGGTGTCCCTGGCTCCACAATGGCAGATGGCAGCTTTTCCTTCATTGCCTGCCCCAGATTGATGGTCCAAGTGTTTATTCTGAAGCATCCCCCGTAACCTGCCCCTGATATACCCTGTCCTCTCTCACCAATTTAACGATCTTTTAGCCATTTGGGTGCCTCAGGGCCCTCTTCATAGTGGAGAAGACAGCAAGAACAAATATGGCAGGCTGTGGGGGGTTGTTTAATCTGGTTGGCTAGGGAGGTCAGCTTCTCTTTGACTGGGGCTGAAAAGAGGCTTGTCTCCCAACAGTGCAGTCCCGTCTGTGAGTGTCTGAACGAAGACAGTTGTGGCTGCTGGGAGCCCTGGGTGTAGACTGGATGACTGGGAGAAATTGAATTAGTTTGATGACAAGAACTCAGTCCCCCTTTCTCCTTGGGCCTGATGGAAAACAGTGAAGTGCCCTCAGTGACACTTTCTGACCCCAGTGTCATCGTGGGGTTTTGTTTAGGGGCCAACTCCAGGCTGGGGCCCTACTCATTGAATCAAGCCGGCCTGGGGGAGGCTGGGGTAGAACTCATTGTAAGTCCAAATTGACTTAAACAGTTGCAGGAAAAAAGGAAAATTGATTTGAGATGGTGAACCTCCTACCATTGCACCCTAGAAGTCATAGTGACCTATGACTGCCACCCAAAAAACAAAACCGAATCCCCAGTGTGCGCAGTGCCTGGCACAATGAACATATCTAACAGTGGTTCCAGTGAGCATCACTGAGAATGATTTGGACATTGGAAGCATCTCAGCACCTCTCTAGGTATGGGAGACAGAAAGGCATTTGTGGGTTTTTTTTAACCCCCCTTTCTTTTTTTTCTTCCATGACTTTTTGGGTTACTATTGTTATTTAAAAGAGCAAAAATACCAAGTTTTCAGTGAAGATTGATCACTGTCATTTGAGTGGCAGGAACCCCTTCCAGGCATATCTAGATAGAGTTTTGCCTTTTTTACAGACATCTTTTAAAAATCAGTGAATTTTAATTGGGAGTTCAAAGGTTACTATGTTTACATCCTCCCCTCACAGAGTAGATTTTCACTCAGATGCTTTACTAACCTGCCTTTATTGAAGAAGCTGTCATGGTTAGAACATGGGACAGTGGTAGGGTCACCTTCTTTATGGAATTTACATGTAAATCCAATAGGTCTGTCCTGGGTGATAAAAGGGAAAAATTAGAAGAGTCTAAAGGAGAAGGTTTAGATTCTAGTCCCAGATTCAGCAAGTCACTTAATCTTTGGCATCCTCATTGGGAAAAAAAGGCATGAGAATTGTGGCTAGAGGGCTGGTCTGAGAGTCAGGAAGACCTGGGTTTAAGCCCTGCCTCTGACATATATATTGGGTTATGTGACCATGGGTAAGTCGATTAAACCCTCAGTGCCTCTGCCAATTCTTCGAAACTGTGAGTTTGAGACAGTGCCAATCTATATCAGCAGAGGGATTTTCCATACCAAGAGTTCTCCACACCGAAAAAACTCAGAGGTCACAGGTCCAGACTTCCTCTTACAACTAGTAAAACAAATTAGCTAGAATAACAACATCTGTCCTGTCCAAGGATCAAAATGAGGTAACACAAAGTCACTTCAGAAAACATAGAGCACTGTACAAGTCTAAGATCTCACTGTGATTATTGAGTCCTTGTAACTCTCCACTGAAATCTGAGGCAGGTCTTAGGTGTAGTGAGTGGGCAGAGCATTGGACCTGGAGTCAGGAGTCCTGAGGTTGGAATGCCACTGCAGATAACAATCATCTGTGTGGACTTATGCAGAGCGATACACCTCTCTGGGCCTTGGTTTCTTCTTCTCTGAAATGAGAGAGCTGGGCCAGATGATCTCTAAGGGCTTCTCTAACTCCAAGTTTGATTCTGTATATAACAGTTCTATTGATTAAGAGTGTTTCCTATTTGTATTCAATTCCCACCAATACCCCCAATTACTTTTCAGTTTATTTAAAGTACATTTTATAATTACTCAGGTACATACATGTTGTGTCCACTCCCTCCCCGCACCAGAAGAATGGAAGCTCACTGAGGGCAGTGACTGATTTTGCATTTATCTTTGTTTTCTCCATGCCTAACACAGTGCCAGCTACATAGTAGGCACTGGGGGGGGGGGTGCTTCCTGAATTCAACTGAACTGAATTAAAATAATTCCACAGGCTTGTATCTTTCAGAAATTTTTGTGTTATTCTTAGAAAAGGCAACTAAGACTTCATGGGCATGCTCATAGAAGGAGGGTAACAGTCCTAGGGCACTCTGCATTTGGTGGAAATCAAGCTGCTAGACTAGCCATCCGTTATCCGCCTGAACGGGAACGCTGTTAGCCGTGTTTAGCACTAGCTCAGCTACCACCACAACCTCTACTTGGGGCAGGTTTGCTGAAATGCTATTTGAATTCATCATTCCTGTCAACGAGAAAGTCAGGAGTAGAGGATGAGAAGGGGGAGAGGGACTGTATCTGGGGGGGGGGCATCTTGATACATTTTTTTTAAGCACCTTTTCTCTGTTTCTTGACAATCCCCACTCAGATGTACCTGCCACACACTGCCCCCATCCCACCTTTGGCTACACAGTAACTGTCATGAGGTTGCCTGTATCAAGGTGGTCCTTCACCAGCAGCCACCAGAAACTAAGACTATCCAGCAGGTCGATTGTCTTTGGCAGCTGCTGTGTTCTGGTTCCTAGTGACAAAGGAAAAGTGGTGAGATTAGTGAAAGACATGGGAGGCGGGGATGAGGAGTGCTAAAGACTGTCAAGGCAGCAAGGGGCCCGCACTGGGAGGTGGAATAAACATGGAATTGGGTGCCTGGTATAACAAATAGTTCAGCAGCTCGTGGCCCGGAGGTGGGGGACCACCCACACTGTGCGACCAGGGAAAGCAAAGCTATGCTCTCTGCCTGGTAACCATTCCAACCAATGCTGTAACTTACAGAACAACGTGGACGTTGGGTCGCCGAGCCAGAGACTAAACAATCTGGAAAACACTTCTGACTGTGGCTAAAGACGCCATGGGTTTTGTTATCTTAAAGTGATGAAGATAAAGCAGGGGTCTTGGTGATTCACGGGATGCTTTTCTTCCCTTGTTTAGAGATCTGAGCGAGAACCAGATTCAGGGAATCCCGAGGAAGGCTTTCCGAGGCATCACTGATGTGAAGAACCTGTAAGTGATGTTCAAATTATTTGTTCTCCTGACGTATGTCCTTTTCTGTTGTGGGGATGAGGAGGTCGTTGAAAACTCAGGGTACTGGGGGCAGGGGATGGAGACGGGGGAGGAGTTGTGCTTGTATCTACCTCCATGCATTTGTTCGACATTTATTAAGTATTCACAGTGTGCCAGGTACTGTGCAAGGTGCTGGCAATACAAAGGTGAAAAATAACCCAGCCCTTCCTCTCCGTGGACTTACAATGGGGGAGACAGCGTGTATAGCAGGAGTCTTTTACATTCAAGGCCCCATGAAAATAGATTCAGGGCTCTTTGTCAAGTGCTCTCCAAAGGCTGTACCTTAAATTCCACAGCAGGTGTACGTACCAGGTCAGTTGTTTTACTTCTTTTTTTTTTTGAGGGGGAGGGTCATTATTCACCTCTTCCCTCATCACCCGGGGAACATGTCCCAGGGCCTTGAGAATACTACTTGCCCTTCTACAGAAGGGGGAGGTAGCATCTTTGACTAGATCAGTTGCAGTGGCCAGTATCAAGAGAATCACATGACATCCTACGTCAAGGGAGTCTCCTCCAGCCTGACTCCTTATCATCATCTCTCGACCATTTATTTCATGCTTCTCAGGGTGATTTTGCAAGTGTCTCTACTTGTCAAGTTGACTGCAGACACCTTCTGAGTGCTTCTGCGTTGTCTGCCCAAGCAACTGTTTTCCATATGTGTAGAGTACATATGTCGGGTTTGGAGATGAGCACTGAGAGATGGTCTGGTTTCCATATACAAACATGTCTGCCAGTTGGCATCCCCACAATTCAGGGGCAGAACACTCCACTTCCAGGGATGAGTTTTTTATGACTCCCAACTGTCACTTTCCCTATAATTAATGTACAGATTTTCAGTTTACAGAGATCCACTACGGAAGTAAGTGCTGACTTCCAGATTCATGTTATCAGCCCCTACATTGCTGAGAATTAAGGTTTAGAGCAAGGCTGGTATTTTACATACGGGCTGAGATGAAGAAATGAGAGCAGGAGATGTGTCAAGGTGGAAAATAGAGGTATCTGCAGGTTCTTGGAAATAGTAAACCCATGTGAGCTATCGGGACAGACAGTAGCTGTGTAATCTTGGGCAAGGCACTTACTGCTATCTGCCTCAGTTTCCTCATCTGTAAAATGGGGACAATAACATCACCTTTTTCCTGGAGTTGTTGTGAGGATCAAATGAGATGATAATTGTAAAGCACTTAGCACAGTGCCTGGCATATAGTAAGTACTAGATAAACGTTAGGTGTTATCATCATTATTATTATTGTTATTTGTAGAGAACCACGATTGGGCCACAGAAGGGCCAAAAGAGAGGTGTACAGCCAGAGAGATGTAGGTCAGACATAAGAAAAAACTTCTTTGTTATAGCAGTTGCATTCTTTTTAAGAAAACGGGGTACAGGAAAATATGAAGTTATAAGCCATCTAGATAGTGTTTTAAGGTTTACAAAGAAAAAAAGGTTTACGAAGCACTTTACATTTCTTAACACATATGATTCTCACCACAACCCTATCATGGAGCTGTTATTGTTATCCTCATTTTACAAATAAGGAAACTGAGGCATAGAGAAGCCCAGTGACTTGCATGGGGTACACAGCTAGGGAGTGTCCGGGGCAGTATTTGAACTTGGGACTTTTTGACTCCAAGTCCTTTGCCCACCATACTGTGCCACCTAGCTTCTAATAATCCCCTATCTTTGTATGTAGCACTTTTAAAATTTGGATGTTTTGTAACATTTTGTTCTTCAGGGTTTCCAGGGACTAGTGAGTGTCCACAGCAACAAAATAAGTCCATAAGCTAAAGTATTTATATGAAAGTCATAGGCTTTTGGTGTCGGAAAGGATCTCAAAGATCATTAGTCCAACCTTTCACATAACAGGTGAAGAAAATGAAGCCCAGAGAGGGGCCCTTACTCCCCTAAGATCTGAAATCTACTTAATCTCAAGGCTAGACTTAATTAGTATTATTTAGTTCCACACAAATCAGCGAGCAAAAATTGTGTACTGCAACCCTTTCTAAGCAATGCCCTAGAACTAATCATTTCAGTTAACTACTTAGCAAACTGATAACAATCCATCAATCATCCTCCGTCTTGCTAAACCTGTGTAACATTACTAGTATCGCAGCAGTCGCTCCAAGGCAGCAGGAGTGAAGGTGTCAGAAGTAGCACATCCTAGTACAAAGTTTACTGCAAGAGCTAGCCCTCCATCTATTCTACTCCGTGGCCCTAGATTCTTCCCTCTTCTTCCAGGAAACATCCTCTCACTTGGTTACACTTGGGGAATGCAGAGAAAATCCATTACTAACCAACTAATCAAATTAAAAGAGGGCTACACTTCTGATCAATTTGTCAATAAATACTTATTGAATGGGACCTAGTACATGCTGAAGCAATCTGCGTAGTCCTTTGGGAGTAAGATAATATGTGACCTCTGCCCAAAAGGGCCTGGCAGTCTATACGTATAAAAAGAGAGGTAATAGCATAAGGCAGTGTATGAGGTATCATTTTTGAAGTGCAGCTACTTAGTAATATAGGAATTCAGATAAGAAAAACATTAGTTTGGGTTGAGGCAGTCAGAGGAAGATTAGTGGAGAAGGTAGGACTTGAGTACCCCTTTTAAAAATGGGTACAATTCTGAAAAAAACAAGATGAAGAATGAGGGGATGGATGGATGGGTGGATGGATGGATGGATGAATGGATGGATAGAAAGATAAAAAGATGGAAATAGATATACACATATACATAAAGGTATGTATATACATACACACACATATATGCATGTATATATGTGTATATATGTACACAGATATAGTGGAAATATGTAAGAAGTTTTGGGAAAAGCAAGCAAATCAATTTGACTGTAGTATAGCGTTCATGTTGGAAAACAAAGTTGCAAAAGTAGTTTGGAGTTAAATTGTGGAAAGTTTCAAACATTAAGCTGAAAAGTTTGTATTTTATATCCTTGGCACTGGGGAGCCATTGAAAGCTTTTGAACAGGAGGCTATGACATGATGAAATCAAACTTGGGAAGATTAATCTGTCTGAATCATGTAGGATGGATTTGAAGGGTAAAGAACAGAAGGAGGGATATTAAATTGAAGGTGATTACAGCAGTGGGCAGAAAGTGACAAAGGATAGTGGCATTGGGGATGGAAAGGACGGGGTGGATGTTAGAGATCTTAAAGAAGAAAGAATCAACAAGACTTAGTCATTAGCTGAATACGAGAACTAGGGGGAGCAAAGGAACGGAAAGCTAAATCTTAGGTTCTTAGTTTGAGTAACAAGAAGAATAATAGTAGTACTCACTGAAGTGAAGAAGTCAGGAGAAGCCAGTTTGAGGGGAAGATACAGATTTGATTTTAAACACAGTGAGTTCGAAGTGACAGCAGGACCTAGAAGTAATAAATTATGATGCAGTGAAAAGACAAATTCAAATGATATCAACAAAGAATTAGGGCCACACAGAGGAGGGCACCAAGGCAGTGGGTTTAGATTCAGATGACCTGGTCCTGCCCCTTATGACCTAGTGGACCTTAGACAAATCACTTCTACTCTTTGTGCCTCAGTTATCAAATCTGCAAAATGACGGATTTAGACTAGGTGATCTCTGAAGTCATCCCCGCCCCCCCCAGCTCTCAATCTATGATCCTGTGCTCTTGGAAAGACACTGAGCCAAGGAGGAAGGGACGTGTGTCCTAATGCTGTCTCTGACACTTTCCAAGCATCATTTCTTCATCTACGAGAGACTAGATGCCCTGCACCACCCTACCCCACCCCCAACACACAAACACAACTATGACTCTGTAATTGTAAATGGAAATCGTCAGTAGGCGGTTGGAGATTCTGGACTGGAGCTTATTAGCAGAGATGTCAGAGCTGAAGATAAAAGATCTGAGAATCGCCTGCGCAAAAAGATTTGGGAGAGGTCAGCGCTGAAGCTGCTTGAGCACATAAGACCTTTGAAGGAAAGGCTAAGCAACGCATGTCCTTAACAGAGTACTGGAGCTGGTAGGGACTTGAGACACTTTCCAGTCTGATATTTTCATGATTTAGATAGGCAAGCAAAACAAAATCAGGACAGTAAAGTTCCAAATTCAAATTTGCGTCTTATGAATTATCCTTTGCCATAGATTATCCATTTCACTGTCATTCTTCAACTCTGTGGCTAATTAAGAGCTATCTGCATCTGTTAGATTTTTTTTTTAAAGTGAGATGGTCCTGTTAGCTCATACTTGCAGCTATTGTCTTTCCCCAAGAAGGAGAAAGGAACAATTGTTTCCATTTCTTAGATGAGGAAACTAAGACCCAACCTGATTCAATAAATTAGCCAAACTTTAACAGGAAAGGAAAGCCTAAAATTCCTAGCCCAGATTTTCCTCCTTACACTCCAGCCTGCTGGGAGATTTGGGATTGTAATTGGCCTTTTCCATTGACCACTTCTACGAAATGAAGTTGGCAAAGAAATTAACTCAAGGAGTGATTAGCTAGAGGCAGATGGTGGCACAGTGGAAAGACCACTGGGCTCAGAGTCAGGAAGAACTGAGTTCAAATCTAACCTCAGATACTTATTAGCTGTGTGACCCCACACAATTCCCTTAAACCTCTGTTTGCCTTAATCTCCGTAACTGTAAAATGGAGGTAATAATAGCACCTACCTCACAGTGTTATTGCAAAGCTCAACTGAGACATTATTTGTAAAAGTAAATAGAACAGTGCCTGGCACAGAGTAGTCTCTACAAAATTCTTATTCCCTTCCCTTTTCCCTTAAGAAAACAAGTGATATAGTAAGAGAGAAAGCAGACTGAATTTGGGATAAGTTAGTGTGGGTATTAAATATCATTGGAAACCCCTCTTTTTCCCAGGGCTAAGAGAAAGGATGTAAGCGATGTTCGTATGCGGTGAGAGCATGTTCGCTAGTATAATGGAGGAGCCGATGAAACTTTGAGGGTTGCCTCC